TTGGAGAGAACCCCTCCCCCGGAAGTCATAGCCATCTCTGACCACAATAAATATGTAAGCAAGTAAGCAAAGAAATCTTAAAGCCCAGTTGGAACCCTCAGTACCACAAATGAACGTGTGTGTGTGTGTGTGTGTGTGTGTGTGTGTGTGTGTGAATTGTTTATGGGTGGGAGAAACCAAATAGGTCATGGTGGCGCACGCCTTTAATGCCAACCCTTGGGAGGCAGAGGCAGGCTGATCTTTGTGAGTTGACGCCAGCCTGGTCTACAGAGCAAGTTCAAGGACAGACAGGGCAACACAGACTCTGTCTCAAGCAAACAGAATAATGGGAAAAGCTATGATAAAGTGTATAGGAACTAGTATTCAAACTTTTGCCTTCATTGTAATTTTTGTTGATTGCTTTGTAGGTCTTTGTAGCTCTCCCTGTGATACTTGGGGCTCATAAAATCTGAGGACATTGGGTCTCCTAGAACCAATGTCATAAACCATTGTGAGCCGCCATGTAGGTGCTGGGAACCGAACCCAGGTCATCTGGAAGAATAGTCAGTGCTCTTAACTGCTGAGCCGTCTCTCCAGCAGCCCCTATAAGAATTTTTACAAGCTGACACAAGTCAAAGATATTTAGTAAGCTTTTTATTTTACTGAGTTATGAGAGCTTGTTACATATTTTGAATGCCAGCCTACTGTGTGTTTTACAAATACTTTCTGCCAGTTTATGACTTGTTTTTATGTGTCTTCCTGAGAATGGAAGTTATTTGGGGTGGGGGTGGGGGCCTGGAGAGATGGCTCAGCAGCTAAAAGCACTTGCTGCTCTTGCAAAGGACCTAGGCTGGGCGCCTAGCTTGCACACTACAGCTCACAATCGTCTGTAACATCACTTCCGGGAAAATGGTCAGCATCTTCTGGCCTGGGCGGGCACTAGGCACGCACTGTCATACATGCAGGCCAAGAACTCAAACGCATAAAATAAAATGGTGGGGTTTGGTTTTGTTTTTAGACAAGAGTCTCACTATGTAATCCTGGCTGGCCTGGAACTCACTCTGGAGACCAGGCTGGCCTCGAACTCAGGGATCCACCTGCCTCTGCCTCCCTAGTGCTGCGGCTAAAGGCGTGCACCACCACCACCACCTGGCCTTACTTTTGGTGAGGTCCACGCCTTGGTTCCTCTCCTCATTGCTGGGATGAAGACTTGAAAAGGAGGCCTACCGAAGGAGAGGCTTATATTGCCTCATGCTTTCAGGAGAAATAATCCACCAGCGGAAAAGCGAGGCAGCCAACGTCTACAGTCAGGATGCAGAAAGATGAACACTAAACTTGAGTTCATTTGCTCCTTTCCCCCTTTTTATCAGGCAATAATTTCTTCAGAACATAACCAAACACAACAGAGCACTGTGGCCCTACAGTTCACTCGCTCTAGTCTCTTCCTTTCTCTATCTCCCTCCCTCCCTCCCTCTTTCCGTCCCAGGCTGTTCTCAAACTTGCTCTGTAGCCAATAATGACTCTGAGCTATTAATCCCAGGTGCTGGGATTACAGGCATGCTCAGTTTATATTTGTTTTCCTTAGCGAGAGCACTTAAATGTCTCAAACTTTTGGCTGCAACTTGTGTTGAATTGATGAAGGAGAAAAATGTTCCTTCTTCTTCTATGTGTAGAATTCAAGTAGCTGATCCCCAGTATAAAAGTATCTATAAAAATACTTCTCTAAATATATCCACTCTAAAAACAAGCCAAATGGAGAATTCTGGACCTCAGAAATACGACTTTAAAATGCAGAGAGGCCGCCTATCCTCTGCCCTCCTCCATACAAATGCTGTGGCATATGGGTGTGTGAACACACACACACACACACACACACACACACCCACAACCTAAGCATGCATACATGGAGGGTTTTTTGTGGCTTTGGTTTTTTAGTTTTTCTTATGGACTTCGTTTGTATGTCCACTTGTGCCTGGGGACAGTGGAGGTCAGAAGGCCCCTGTGACTGGAGCCACCATTTGGGTGCCAGGAATGGAACACAGGTCTTCTACAAGAGCAGCCACCGGTCTTAACTGAAACAGTGCTCTTAAGCACCAAGCCATGTCTCCAGTCACACACACACACACAATCTTTTCTAAGTAATATAATTTTCAGCTGGGCAGTGGTGGCGCACACCTTTAATCCCAGCACCCAGGAGGCAGAGGCTGGCAGATCTCTGTGAGTTCGAGGCCAGCCTGGTATAGCACAAAAGGATCTGGAATGTAGGTGGTGGTGGCACATACCTTATACAGGCAGGTGGATCTCCATGAGTTTGAGGTCAGCCTGGTCTACAGAGCTAGTTCTAGGACAGCCAAGGCTACATAAAGAACCCATCTTGAAAAACCATAAAAGTGAAAACAGATAAAGGGGCCTGGAGACATGGCTCAGTAGTTAACCATACTGACTGTTCTTCCGGAGGACCCAGGTCTAACAAGTGCATGGAACAAGTGTATGTTCCAAGAAAATTGACACCCTCTTCTGGCCTCTGGGTACTGCTACAGGCAAGTACATGATACAGACAAGAATGCAGGCAACACACCCATACACATAAAATAAACCTTATTTTTCACAGGACATGGCTTTCTGTTCTGGACTTCACTCTGTAGAGCAGCCTGGCCTCGAACTCACAGAGATCCACCTGCCTCTGCCTTCCCAGTGCTGGGATTACAGGTGTGAACTTATGCCTGACTAAAAAAAAAAAAAATCTGAAAAAATATGGCCAATGTTCTAAACATCTCTCCCATCTCAGAGCCTCTGGCCTGTTTGCCCAACCTGCCACTCCAAGCCAGGCATTCCTGAGGTAGGCCTAACACACCCTTCCCCATTGCACCCAGTATGAATTGGTGTGAATAACCATTACATTTGAGTGTGAGATCCAGTCCCAACCAATGGGGTAAAACATTGTCACTACCCCACATTAGGGTAAAAGCTAGGTGAACTTCCTGCTTGAGTGCTTGTCTGTATTAGGTCTTGGTGTACCATTCTGGAAAAGTCAATTTCTTTGCCAAATTACTTCCAATTTGCTTGTTAAACTGGGCATGGTGGTACCTGCCTTTAATCCCAGAGCTCAGGAGACAGTGGCAGCTGGACCTCTTGTGAGTTTGAGGCCAGCCTGGTTTACATAGTAAGTTGCAGGTCAGATCCTCTCTCAAAAATCCTAAACCAAATCAGACAAACCCCCAAAAAGCTGAAGTTAAAGGCATGTGCCACCACATCCAAAAAGTTAAACGATTTTAAGGTCCCACGACTGACTATGACATAGGTCTGTAAGCCTAGTTCTTAGAGGCTAAGGCAAGAGGATTGCAAATGTATGCATCTTTATTTTATTTTTGGACAGGGTTTCTCTGTGACCTCAAACTCAGAACTCTGAGATCCACCTGCCACTGCCTCCCAAGTGCTGGGATCACAGGTGTGCGCCACCACCACCCGTGCCATGTGCATAAACCTTAAACTTTTAAATTTATTATTTTCTGAGTATCTTGCCTGCTAGCACCTGTAGGAAAACTGTCAGATCCTCTGGAACTGGAGTTGTGAGCCACACATGGGTGCTGGGAACCAAACTCAGGTCCTCTGGAAAAACAATCAGTGTTCCTAATTGTGAGCCATCTCTCCAACCCCAGGTTTTCTTTTTAATTATGAATACATAGTGTCTGAGTATGGGTTTGAACAGCAGAGTACAAAGCTCTTCACTGCTGAGCCATTCTCCAGCTCCACACTGCTTGCCAGCCAGCCTTCTCAGGATGGAATTACAGGCTGGCAGCCATGCCTACCTCATATTTAGAGGAGTTCTGGAGAATCCAAACTCTGATCTTCAGATTGACAGGCCCTTGAGCTACTGAGCCATCTCCAAAGCCCCTCAGGGTTTTGTTTGTTCGAGACAGGGTTTCTCTGTGTAGCTGAGCCTAACCTGGCACTCGCTCTGTAGACCCGGCTGGCCTCGAACTCACAGAGATCTGCCTGCCTCTGCCTCCCAAGTGCTGGGATTATACAGTGTATTGCCACGACATGTCCAGCCCTTTTGTTTTTGTTTTTAAAGATAGGCCTTCTCAATGGGCAGTGGTGGTGCATGCCTTTAGTCCCAGCACTTGGGAGGCAGAGGCAGGCAGATCTCTGTTTAAGGCCAGCCTGGCCTAGAGAGCTAGTTCCAGAACAGCTAGGGCTACACAGAGAAACCCTTTCTCAAAAAAAAAAAAAAAAAAAAAAAAAAAAAAAAAAAAAAAAAGAAAAGAAAAGAAAAGAGGGTTTCTCTATGTAAAACCCTTGGCTGTCCTGGAAATCAGCACTGTAGACCAGGCTGGCCTCGAACTCACGGAGATCCACTTGTCTATGGTGTGGGCCACCACACTGGGCTCATGCCCAGTTTTTTAACCTGGGTGCCGGCAATTAAACGAAGGCCCCAGTCTTGCATGGCCAGAGTCATCCCAGCCGGGAGACAGTCCTCAGAAGCACAGAGTTCGGCATGCCTGCGGTAGATACAAACCCACTAAGGCAGCAGACACGGATAACAAGTATGCAGACGCCATTTATTTGGTCCATAAGTACAGTATATTTGTTGTTTGAGTTTACAAAACATCAAATATAAATAACCTGAAACTGTAACAAATACACAAAAATTGGCTTCTTACACAGACATACCAGGCAGTACAAACTGAAAATTTGAGTAAATTAACATTGTTTTACATTAATATACAGTGCCAGGTAACATTTAAAAAACAAGTTTCAATGCATAGCACTTGACACTTATGTGATCTTTCAGGTAAGAGTATGAAAATGGTTAGATCTAGGCTAAAAATAACTCTTCTCCAGCCAAAAATAAAGGCATAATATTTATACCCAGGTCTCAGCGTTCCTACCCCACAGGTTCCCACTAGGCAATGACAGCTAAGGCTATTTACAGGAAGGCAGCATGCACGCGCTCCCGGCTCCTCCCGGCTCCTCCCGGCTCCGCTCAACAGGTCCCCAACACTACACTCCTTCCTACTCAATCAGCAACACAGTCTCTAACAGTCTCAGCAATGAATGCTTCTCACAGGAGCGGAACCAACGCCTCCGCAGCCCGTGCTTTCCCTCTACAAGAAAGGACAAAACCTTTGGTTCTGACCAGGGCAAGGGCGGCTCAGTCGGCTCAGTCTAACGCTATGACGTCATCAAGATCTTCGGCTTGTTCCAAGCGGGACCTCTTGGCACTGGCTCCCTCAGTCTCTTCCAGTTTCCGCTTGCGGGCTCTGTCGTCCTCGCTGCCGTCAGCGCTGTTTGAAGGCCCTTCTTCGTCGGAATCAACTATGAGCACATCATCTTGCTCTTGTGCTTATTTCGGAAAACAATGCAGAGTGGTGAAGTGTGGCTGATAGAGTGGCTCCCCCGGCCTCAGGCAACAGAAAGCTCGCTCCTCCACCCTCACTGGCCACCCTCAGGGAATGTGTCTCCAGTGTTTCGTGTGACAAGCATGTCTACTTTGAGGAGAAGGGTGCTACTGGGGAACCGACCCTGGGTAAATTCCTACTTTTTTCCAAGCAAAACAAAAAATGTGACTAGCAGGTAATTTAATGCATCATCATGCCTCCGAGTCTCCACTGAGAAGGGGAGGGGCACCCTAACAGAGGAGAGAGCGGCAACAGCAACAAGCCACTTACAACTGCCAGGGGCTGCTCTGAGCACTGTGCAAAACTCATCTAATCATCCCTACAAAGAAGACAACATCATTATCCCACTTTCACAGAGGAAACCCAGGGGCACAAAATGTGGCCAGGTTCCAAACTCCAAGACGCCCTCCCATACTTGTGCTCTTTAAAACCCATGTGCCAAAGTTAAAAACAGACCCACATCTCCCCTATACCACCTTCAAAACCCACCACAGCAGAGGGTCGGGGTTACAATCCTTCAGCTGGGGGTAGGGAGAGCCGGCCAGCCAAGGGGGCCACGATCTACAGCCTCCAAGTTTACCCCTAAGTCCTCAGAGGACGCTACAGCCCAAAGCAAAAATTCTAAGGAACCAAAGGCAAGGAGCCAAGTAAGTGGAAACAGAGGTTACAAACTGCTAACCGGGGAGGTAAAGGTCCAGCCAGAGAGCAGAGAAGGCTCGGTATCTTCCAAGGTACCCAGTACCAGCAGCAGGACCCTGGGGTGGGTCTTAGGTGGGCTCTGCCTCCCGGAAGCCACACCCACCCTCCAAGCACCTGCTCAAA